ATTAACGATAAGTTACAGTCATTAGGACAACAACGATAAATAACAACCAACTTCGAACTTAGGCCTTTTTAGGACATTAGGACAACAACGATAAATTCCAACCAACTGAGGTAATTTAGGGTGTAAATCATAATAGGCCAATTAAGGACAACAACGATAAAAAACAACCAATTGAGGCCATTTTAGGACAATAACGATAAGTTACAGCCAACTGAGGTAATTTTAGGCCAAAAACATGGGGGGTACCAACGCAGTTCATCAAAAAAGTATACATAACGGCAAATAATGATATGGGAGTACCTACACAATTTATCAAAAACTGCATACATCAGCTTAATAGAACATGGGGGGTACCAGCGCAATTAATCAAAAAGTGCATACATCAGCAAAATGAAAAAACCAGGCCAAAAATGCGAGGTGAAAACATACCATTTAGAGGGCCCAAAGGAGCGGAAATATGCATGAGAGAGGCTGTCTGAGGATAGATATTGTAAAAATGCGCTGGTACCCCCATATACTATACTACTAAATTTTAATTTTCGCCGTAGATCTACGAACGCCTGCCAATCCTCCTGGAATCCGCTCTTCCGAGCCCTCCTGTGGAGTCGGTTCCTTGTCTTTATAAGTTAAGCTTTATCTCGAAAGTGATGGATGGGTTTTGTAAAACTTTATGGTCTTGTGTTAAGGAAATATCATCGTCGCAAAGTGGTCATCGTACGTTTGGGGTCGACGAATCATTTCATAACGACTGGGGGCAACACGCAAGATTTCGGCGTGTTGAAGTTTGGCATTGAAGTTGAAAGTCATTGACGAACCCCCATACGCTCCTGTATCGTGGATGATGCACAGGTCGCCAATTTGAGGATTCACATTTAACACTTGGTCGATAGCAAATTTGTCCTTGTTCATGCAAATTGAACCCACGACATCGAACATTCTCTCTCTCTTGTTTCCTTCAAAGAGTGGAGATGCGTAGGAAGGGTCTTCGATCACCGTTTTGTAATCAGGTAGATTCTTTCTGACATGGCTTGGAAAAGACTGATCTTTGACAATCGTGATGTCACGATAATCTTCGCACTCCCCTTGAAGGATGAGATCAGCCATAGATGAATCCAGACCGAGAAAGCGTTTGTACGTGTCTTTCATGTTGATCACTCGTGAAATAAGACAACCATGTTCAGCGGTCACCAGTGCTCCACACTCGTACTTGATCTGTAAAGGATGCAGACCGTGACAGGGCAGCACGATTTCTTCATACAAATCCTTCACTCGATTTCCCAGGTCTCCCAAGTTGACGTTTTGTTGTTCAGGGCGATACTTAACGCCTATCCCACCGCCCATGTCGACGAATTCAAGGCTAACACCTGTCTGCTGGTAAATTTCAACTGCGAGCTGAAACATCATCTGCGAAATTTTTGCAAGCTCCAAGACATCAAGGCAGTAGCACTTGATCATGGTGTGCAACCCAAAGCGCTTTACGCCATATTCCTTGCACTTCTTGTAGGCTGAGAAAAGCTGAGCTTTCGTGAGGCCAAACTTTGCTTGGGCAGGGTTACCAATCACCTCGTTACTAGGCAGAGTACAGAGCGGACCAGGGTTAAAGCGGAATGACACTATTTCAGGCATTATACCATCCAATGCCTTCTTGAGGTTGTCAATCTGCGAAAAGTCGTCCAGGTTGATAATGGCTCCAAGTTCAAAGGCCTTCCTATATTCTTCGAACTGTGTGTCGTTAGAAGTGAAGATGATATCTTCACCTTTAATTCCCAGTTTCTCACAGAGAAGAAGTTCTCCTAAAGAACAGCAGTCCATACCCATGCCACACTCTTCATTGAGAATTTTCAGAATCTTTGGAGTCGGTGTTGCTTTTATCGCGAAATGGTTCTTGAAGCTCATACCAGTAAGTGACCGAGTCCAAGCGAAGCTTTCATTGAAAATTCTTGCGCCTTTTAAAATTGATTCCTTGTCATAGAGCTGAAAGGGAGTTTGAAAGATCGAAGCCATTTGCCTCAGCTCTTCTTCACTGCAAAGCAGCGGTTTGATATTGTTAATTGCATTCGTTGCTGGTTCTGTTTGGTAGGATCCCATGTTTTCTGTAAAAAGAAGACGCATGTTGTAAAAGTTGAACTCCGTTAACGAACTAAATGGTCACAGATTAAAAATGATGAAGGGTACTTTCTATTTGTCAGAAGTGAGCGGCCAGCTCCTTCTTGTCGTAAGTAAAAATTTCACTTTTAATCAAAACTATTCAGCTATCTCACTCAGATACTAAATAGGGTGCGCGAAAGATACGGTTTTTCAGCAAAACCCTTTGGAAAAGCCTATTTCTTTCAGGTCAAAATGACCGGTCCGGCCATGGTCCGGCCACAGCCAGGTCTTGGGTTTGGAAAGCGCCTCAAGTTAGGAGTCTGTAAAACGAGGAAACGGACAGCGGATGGCGGATGGCGGATGGCGGATAGCGGATAGCGGACGGCGGATGTCGGAAAATAAGAAATAAATAAATAAATGTATAAGATGAATAAGATAGATAAAAATAAGACAAATAGATAGTAACTGTAAGAATTTAAAACATTAACATTAAAAATATAGATATCAGTTGTGACATCTCTGGATTGTTGGAGAGAAGATAGACAGAGTGCGCAGTTACGTAGTTCGCTCGAATTTCAGAATTTTTCTCTAAATTCACATTTGTTAACAGTCCGGGCCACAACCAGATCTGGATATATGATGACGTCACCCACATTTGCAAAATGGCGCCCACGCGGAGAAACACGAGGGAAGGTCGCTTCCAGGCTCTTTGCTGCGCCTAGAAGTGTCTTTTCCCCATACTACTAGAGCTGTGACTTAAGACGATGAGAAATCAGGGGTGTGAAGAAAAAATGCCCACCGATGAACGTTTGTGCGTTCTTGGGAGGTAAAACGACCGAACGCGAGAATTTTTCAGCTCAAAGAAATGCCGGACAAGGTGCAAAACATCTAAAAAAAGAAGGTGAGTTTCAATTTTCTGATCCTTGGAAACAATTTTTTTAAAATCTACATAAATTTGCTTCTTGATGGTGGTCTGTTTGGTGTAGTGCATAGCGAATTCAAATAGTGCTGTGCTTTGGAAGATGCAACAGTCAGTTGCGCCGTTCACGTGCTGGTTTTGTAAGGCCATGTTTATTTTATGTTATCTTGCAGTTGGATGCAAAAAGCACTTTGTTTTTGTGGCAAAAAGATGCCGCCGGTTTGTTCGTGGAGAACCGTAACCATGGTCTTGCCTGATCACAAAGTGGCAATTTAACAAAACAGTTCATACACTGTAAAGCTTATTCAAAAGCTATTATCGAGGAAGGGAATACGCGCTCCAGTCAGAAGATTCGCATTTATAGAAAAAAACCAAGCTAGAGTCTACTGAGTCACAATGCATTTCTCCATAGTTTATGCAGCTTCAGTTGAAGCTGCACTTAATTCTTATAACTTTGTATCTGTAAATCACTAACCGTGATAATTTAACATCCTGCAAAGAAAACTCATGAGCTGCATGGGCCCAGCGTGATACAACATTGCAAAAAAAAAAAAAAAAACATTTTTTTTTTTTACATTCACGGACAAACAAAAATCGCTTAGTTATTCAGATCCACAAGGCACTTTGGAGAAAATTAGAACCCTTATTCAGCTGTAATAAAATGCTTTACGCTTCAAAAACTGAGGTCACAGAAAATGCTCTTGCGTTAGAGGGAAAATCCTTCAAACCAGATGCAAAAACCACAGTAAATCGATATGTGTGCCATGTCATCTCAGTGTGAAACAAGCGGCTAAAATCACAATTGCTCAGTGAAAATGTGCAACCTTCCAGATCATAATTACCCTGGGTGCCGGGTAGATCATAATCTACCCAACAGAGGAAAAAAAACTTAATAGGAGGTGTGGAACCGACAAATCTTTTTTCCTTTTGTATCTCTAATAATATGGTCTTTCCATTTCGTTAACTTCGGCAAGCGAACGGATCCTCCTAGAGTTTTCCGAATTACCGACCTAGTGTCAAAGAACTTCTAGCCTTCATAGCAGGCGCCGGTAATATTATCTTACTACAGGCCGCGCATACTTTCTTCGAGATTTCTTCCTTCGCCCTAAAAAAAATTGGCGCTCGCTACGCAGGCTAAAGAACGTCCAGAAATCTCGCTCCAGGCCTCGGCTTATTTATACCTAGGCTGGTATTTACGTGAAGTGTGATGGGATATGAAACATACGTGATCCGTGATTGTCACCCGACTCCGATCTTTGCCCCGCCTCTGTTTACATGATGATAGTCACTTGCACTTTAAAGCGGGTCCCGCCAATACTTATTCTCCGGCTATCTATTGAGAGTTCAGTATTTCGATAATATTTTTACTCAGCAGGAGAGAATTTTCAGGTAAAATTCTGCGAATATTGTAATCTATCGGTCAGCTCCAAGAACCCCTATCCCCACCACCACCTTTGCCATTTGCCGGACATTTGTCAAGTCTCGAGTTCCCAGCTTTTGGAATTTGTCATCAGGGGCTTATTACTATTGGGTGAGCCATATATTTTTGTTGAATTCTACATTTTTTTCGATAGCCTGCGTGGCAGGCGTTAAATGAAAGGGTAAGGGGAATTCGGGACGCGCGAGGAGGAGGAGAAAGGAAAGCTCCTTGCAGGCATTCCTTCCCTCCCCACCTTCTGGCGTGCCCGAATTCCCCTCCTCTTCACCACGATTGAGCGAATTGAACAAGATGGAATAAGTGCGATAAAAATTGAAGCAGCGCGAATTCACACTTCAGTGAAATTTTCGTAACCATTGCCGTCGTTAGATCTTCAGCTCCCTATTGTCTTACTTTTGCTGACAAATGATGTACACCAAATCTGTCGTTTCATTCTGTTTATTTTCCCCTAATTAGAGTTATTTTTTGTTGTTGTTCGAACATGTAAGCCGGTAATTCTTTAGACACCTTTGGCATCCTCTGCGTATTTACATTGAGTTCGCCTCATGTTAAGTATTACTTTACATCTTCAATAAGTTCTATGACCATCGCGGTGAAATGTTCAATTCGTTTTCCTTCCATTTCCTGGACACACTTCTTTTCGTCAACGACCTTGATATTCCATCCGTTTTCACTTGCAATTTCGGTAAACCTTTCTTCTGAGCCATAAAAGTAAGAGAAGGTGACAATAAGTCGACCAGATTCCTTAAGGTATTCCTTTGCTTTGGAAAGATAGCTTTGAAGGCCCTGGTAACCAGGATCCAGAAGGCTCCTCATTAATGGCTGGACCTTAGTCGCTGTTGTCGTGCCATAGCCGCCCCACGGATGATTCCAGTATATCATGTCAAATTTCCTTCCATTGATTTCTTCATGATCGAAGACGTTCGCCTTAACAGCGTGGAAACGGCTTTCTACGCCATGAAGTTTTGCATTTGCTGTAGCGTTTTTCACTGCCTCATCGACGATGTCAGTTGCCCAAACCTGGCATTTCTCAGACGACAAAGCCACTGATATACCGATAAAGCCCGCCCCACAGCCAACCTCAAGGAATTCGATGGATGCTTGTCGGGATTTCTTCGCTATTTCTTCGGTTGCCATCCTGTATATTGTCGAATTGACGAAGTGGGCATGACCGTCTTCGGGTGGGTAAAACACTTCTGGATACACCACAAATTCCCTTTGAAGAGTGATGAACTTGCGGTTGTTTTCTTTGGCTTGTTTTCTCATTTCATGTTCTATATCTTGGGATTCTTCAAGTTCTTTAGTAGATTCCATGATCTTCTTGCTAAGAAATTAAAGAAAAAAAGGAGAGCAAAGTTTTGTTGTCTCCATATATTTTTCCGGCGGCCTTGCGATCAAGTACACAATCTTTGCATTTTCATCTTGATTTCGCTAATTTTGCATCTTCCCATGGTGGGGTATTTGTTATGTCCTGCCAGGGTAAACCATTTGTCTTTGTCAAATTTCACATTTCTACTACTTTTAAAAAAAGTGGAATACGGCACCAAGAGAGGATAATGCCGGATACTGCCGGTTAACATTCCTCAACTTAAAAGCCCCTCATTTATAGGCTCCCATCCACTTGTAAAAAAGAAATAAAAATAATAAATGATCCGAAAATGACCCCTCAGGAAAGAAGCCACCCTCTAAATGTATTATTATGATATATTCAACTTATTATGACGTTTTGAAGCTTAATTAAAAGCCAGTAAATGCAAAACGTATTTTGATTAGCATAGCCGTAAATAAAGCACGTTTTGAAGCGATTTTTCCATTCCACTCGGATGCAAGCCCTCCTAAAAGCACTTACGAAGATGTATAAGTTCAGGCCTTATAAGCAAGTCGAGGGAGGTCTGAAAAATTCCCATGTGTAATCAAATGGTATACTCGTGAAATTAGGGAATAATTTCACTTGCGTTTTGTCCAATTCCCAGTAATTTCCCTCGCCTTTTACCTATTAATATTATGGATAACGAATTACGCTCACAATCGATGGTTTTGGACAAGTTTATCAAATTGATTATCGATCGAGAGCTCCGCACCCTGAAAACTGTCACATTTTGCCTTAAGTTGAGAATTTTTGAACAAAATACTTGTTAGAATCCTTCTTGACGTGCTTTTTGTTTGTGTGTTTAGGTTTTCTGAAGCGTCTTTTAATGCCCTAACATCTTTATTCATAACGTTTTAAAACTTCGTCGCCATTTTGGCACTGAGACGTACGGAAGGTTGCCAAGGCAATTTTATAATTTCACATGTGAGATTTCAAATAAATGCAGAAATTTCGCGCCAAAATTAAGAAGTAAACTATCACCCATGATATCAATAAAATTATTCTGTTATATCTCCAGCCAGTCTAAAGTGTAAGCACAGTCAATGTGTAATGTTTGGGAAAGAAGAGCATCATGGCTTGGTCTGGCTTCAGTCCCGGGCTCTTCAGTGGAGATGGCCACTCACGGAAGCTGTGGGGCATAACTATAGCTGGTATAGGTCTAACCTTTGGTTTTCTGAAGTCAGCTCCAGTTCACTCTAATTCCTTTACTTTCAAGGCGTTTCGATACAGTTTCTCGGAGACCATACCGGATGTTTTTCAGGCGCCTTGTCCGATCGCCAAAAAATTTTCACTAGTGATTGATTATCAATTATAAAGCTTGTCAAAATGCAGTTTTTAGTAAAATCGATATGACTATGACAACAATAAACAAAAAACTTTCAAATCGATTAAATCCGAATTTCGCGCGATCTAAACCTGCTACTGAAAACCGAGACCAGGAGTGCTTACCATTTGTACGGAAATTTCGGTGAAAATTTTCTGTTAAATGGTAGTGGTATTTTTTTGGGCACCGAAAGCAGGAACAGAATTGAGTGGGTTATTGAGTTGTACCATTTACAAAACACCGGTAAAGTTTTCGCTTTCTCTCGACATGAAGCCTGGCACTAGTAATCCAAACAAATGGTACAGAAAACTTCGGTGGTTTCGGTAACAACGGGAAAAAGGTAATACCTCGAAAGTTATTACTTTAATTTTTCCGGAAAATTTTCTCCGGGATGAACCGTTCCATTTGAATTCTCCCCGGAATTTCCTGGTTTTCCATACAAATGGTAAGCTCTCCAGGAACTTAAAGTGTGGTGTTTAGCAGATAACCTCCGTGAGAAGTAGAAAATTCTGTATGTTTGAAATCAAATAAAACGTAACTATATTTCAAACCTTATATCTTCAATAGCCGTGATAATTTTCACTCGCACTATCGCACTACGATCGCTAAGCATCATGGGCGGTATTCAAAATCTTATCATTTGGGTCAAGATGGCGTGTAGTGGACATCTCGACTGTGGAGAGAATATTCGTTAATTACGCTGTAGAAATATATTATTTTGCTTTGAATCTCTTCCAGAAGCTTTTGAGTAACAAAGTCTGTCGAATTCTCAGGGGAAAAAACAGTCTCATTCCGTTGATAAGTGTATTCTGGTGTATTTTGTTTGTAATTACTCGCATCCTGTTTGCAACTGACGGAGAAAAGTCAGTACAGAATCGATTTGTTCAATGCTTCAATCAGGAAAAGCGCTAAAGGTAAAACCCGCGGTTCGCCGAAAATTTGGAATTCACCGTGAAATCAGTACAACTAGTGTTAAGGGACGGACCATTAGAAAACTTATGGGGGGAGGGGGGACGGGCGAAGTACAAAAAAAATATTCGCGCAAGGGAAAATTAAATGAAAAAAAATTCATGCACGCCAATTAACCCTAAAAAATGTTCATGCAATGGCCTAAATAAAATTCATGCAAAGAATTTGATAACGAAAAAAAATTCTTGCAGCTCGAAAATTCCCCTCCCCCCCCCCATAACTTTTCTAATGGTCCGTCCCTAAGAGGTACTGATATGCATAGCTGTCATATACTCATAAAAGAGTAGGAGCTTCTTCAGAATACCCGGCCACGGTATTTAAACACAGTAAGCTTACTTTCTTTTGTCATTCAGCAAGATGTTCACTTGTACCGAACTTGTGGGGTACACTCTAAACTCACGTACTCGCAAATTGTACTCGACAAATCCTTGTTTTTATTCTCCCCGTGGTTTTCCAACCCGTCTCTAATATTTGTTGTATCTCACACACACAAAAATCTTATTGTCTCATCTCAAACGTCTCTGGTTGCAAAACTCGTGATCCTAGCCTAAACTTCCGTTTACACTTGCTAGGTATAATAAGAGAAGTTGAGGGGGTCATCTTTTCAAGGACTTAGCTGGTTCTCTGTTGGCACCAAGTCTGCATTTCCCTTTGTTTAACGTCCGCATTTATCGTCACATGAAGACAAGTAAATAAAGGAGATAATATTTGTGTACAAGGATCGACTTGTGTCCTCTTTATAGATTATTAATATTAAGCGCCTTTATTCCTGCAATACTGCGAATTTGCATATATCTTTCCTATTGATATGGGTCATAGAATGTCTTATAACAGGATTGAAACTAAAAATGGCATATTTGTGATTACAAAGCCTGATGCAGTCAATAGATTTTAAAAGCTATTCCGCCACTATTCGTTTAATATTTGTGTCAGTATGTACAAACACATGTTACTACATATTTTTTTGTATTATAAAAACCCTTCAAACTGTGAAATTCATACATGTTAACAAATCTCCTGTAATCAGGGCTGGGGCAACATAGCAGGAGACCCCTTTCCTTTCTTGTAACGCCCCTCCCTCCCCCCAATTTTTCCCAATTCAAAAATGGTGTCATAGGTCTCATTACAGTCAAACCCTGTTATACGGACACTGAGGGGACCGTAGAAATTGTCCATTTTAATTTAGGGAAAATTTACCTGAGTAGCGTCAGAAGGCTGCTTAAAATGATATTGTGATCACACTACAGACTATACCTAGGTAAAACCGATATACTCGTGCCCCCAAAATTTCTTTCACAGCGTGAGCTATGTCCGGTTCTGTCATCAAGACCGTCTATGAGCGTCTATTGGCTAGCAACCTCGGTATTTGAGTCACGAGCAGGTATCGATCCCAGAGAGTTAAATCTGTAGTCTCATGACCTAACCACTACACTACCGAGGATTCGCTGCAGGGAATTGGAGTAATTTAACTACTGTAGCGAAAACCCTAACCCTAAAAAGAAGCTAACCGTTAACCCTAATCACTATTCTAAGTGCTTAACCCTAATAAGTATGGTCAGTGCTTAACCCTAATCAGTATTTTCAGAGCTTAACCCTAATCAGTATTGTTAGGGCTTAAACCTAATCACTATAGTCAGGGCTCACTCATATATGTATACACATATGCAATTACTTTGTGTAGGCATTACAAGGTATCCAAGGGCGGTTTGAGATATCGACTTTGTTGTTCGCCATTTTGAAAATCAATAACCGCAAGCCATATCCTCGCTGGCGCACGGCACGTCGCCCGAAGGGTGACCGAAGGGCGACCGAGGCACGAAGTGCCGATTAAAAAAATGGTTTTATACTGTAAGCCGATCTTGCGAGCCCTCAGTCTCTTGGTTTGCGGTCTATAAAATGTGTAACGAAACTGTAACGTGATCAAAATAACCCATTTTTCAGAGGTTTTCCACGGGTTTTGATGTTCTACCGACAAACACATCTCCTCTGGACCCTGTGCAAAACCCAGACGATAAAATTTACCCGAGGTAAGTTACCTAAACTGTAACAAGTCGAGTTTACCTTTGTAGGTAAAAAGCTTCTAGTGAGATTCACTGCAACACCTTGAAATTTTAAGACGAATCTAGCCTACGAACCGGTCCTGACCAACCGGCCAAAGCGGCCCCCGCTGCATACCGACTGTCGGTCCTGCCGCAAGCCCACATTCCGCTATTCTGCTTCCAAACGATCGAAAAAATCGGATAGAAAGGTGAAAATAACCATCTGCGAAAACAGGCATCGCTCTTTAACGTAACAATAATGTCAATAGTATAAATAATATATCCAGAATGCCAGCAAAACGTTCGAATGCAGGGCAATTATAATACACGAAAAAGAAACTTCAAATGGCCGTTACCATACGAGTGCTCGACGTTTTTTTCTTTCCTCGCTAGCTTTTTTTCCATCATTGAATTAAATTAGCTTGCTGT